GGATCGTTATATATGTTTATGCTATAATTTGGCTAAATTGGTTAATTGAATTAAATTGATTACTTGAATTGAATTGTTGAGGATTATGGATTGACTGAGCAGGTTTGACTTTGACTTGGGTTGGGTCACGTTTGACTTAGGCTTTGACTGGATATTCTGTTGACGTAGGTTTGACCGAATGGTTAAATCCAAGACTTTAATGAATTAGTTAAGTTAATTAATTAATTCTAATCAGTAATTAAGATCAATTGGTTTATTATGTCGAGCATAGAAACTGGCCATTGCTCGGGCGGCTGCAGGGCCTGGTCAGTGAGGTTAAGACGTGCGCACGAGGGTCTGTGATCTTGGGATTGAGGCTATCGCCCGAGGGATCCTACCTCCACCGAATTGAGGCTATCTTCGGTATTACGGATTGAGGCTATCTCCGTCATAGGCAATAAATGTTAAGTGGTTTGACTTTCGTGAAAGTCTAAATTGGGTTGACTGGTGGTCAAAGAGTTAATGAGGAACCCTTAACACCTAAATCGTTTTGAAAAGAAAGAAAGTAAGTTGACTGTTGGTCAACCGTCTAAAGAACCGAATTTAAAGTTGAATTGATTTTTATCAAAAGGATAAACATATGCACGATCTTAATTGTTGTATTATTATGTTTATTCTTGTGCTACAATGGAGTCCCACTCAGCGTCAATGCTGAGCAGATAGTGTTGTTTTCCTTTTTGCTGTCCGTAGGTGATCAGACAGATGAACCTAGAGCCGATCCCAGAGGGCATTGAGGAGGAGATGTACGATGGCGTGGCTGTCTCTTTAATCTGTAGTTATGCTTTATTTAATTAACTTTAATGCTTATTACATTTTCGGGCAAGATCCCAAGTTGTTTGACTTTAAAAAGGCTTCTGCTTTATTTTAAATTACTCCGATGGATTTTTATATGTATTGATAGAATGTTTGTTTTAAATTGTTTTGAAAATGTTGTATATTCGGATACCAATCCAGTGGCACACCGGTCCGCGGTCTCACGGGTTTGGGTTACGCGGATTGGGGTGTTACAGTTACAACCTGAGAACTCGAGTCCCACGAGCCTCAACAACACTTGCTCGGATATACCGCACTCCAAGACTTCAACCCGAAGGAAAAATACCTTTCCTTCGCACAACCAAGGGAAACAAGCTTCCCTAAACGTGTTTACAACACTAAGAGCCCTCAAGAACAAGACTCTCTTTAAGAGTAGATGTTGAGTAAACTATATACGCTCAAGAACAACTCAAACTTCACAAATTGGCTCTAGAAAGCTATGGAAAATAATGTTGTTTGGATGCAATGATAATATGAATAAAGTGAAGTGAATTGATTAGAAAAGCAGACCCAAACACCCCTTTTTATATAGTTCTAAAATAGGCTCCAACGGACCAATGCATTAAATGGGTGATTGGCTTGATTTAAGGGATTGAATAAATTTGGGATCTGCAGGATATTGGCTTCCCATCGATGTTTGGAACTTACCCATCGCTGGTAAGCCAATTTTCCTTCAGTTTTGAAGCCAACGGTTACCTACCCATCAATGGGTACAAGCTTCCCATCGCTGGGTGGGAGGTTGACTTCCAAACAAGGAAAGAATCAACCTTAAATGACTTCCAACGGTCATGCCTTCCCATCGATGGTTTAGCCTTCCCATCGCTGGGTTTCCATCGATGGGTAAAGCTTCCCATCGCTGGGTAAGGGCATTCTTCCTTGTGATAATGTTGGACCAAGGCTTGAACAGCGATGGGTAGAGCTTCCCATCGCTGTTTGGCATGGTTCTGGAAGTTGGTTTGGCTAAGGGGCTACATACCCATCGATGGGATGTTCTTCCCATCGCTGGGTGGATGGTTAGCCAAAAACCTATGGTTTTTGCCTTAACCACGGCCTAGCCAACCGATGCAAAAATCGACCGAAATATCCAAAGTTCTCCAAAATAAAAACCAAGTGTTTAAAACACTTATTTGATGTATTTGGCTAATAAATCAAGTGAGACACTTTAAAAATCACATCATTTGAGTAAAAACCACGGCTAGCCAAGTTTACGCCGTTTTGCGTGGTTTTTGTCAAACGACTAAAAGCGAGAGATGGTTTTCAAAGTGTTTTTGATGGAGAACCGTTTAAACATGCCAAAGAGTGAAAGCAGATCATAAAATGCTGAAAACCACTTGGTTGGTTCGGATGCCAAAAACCAAACCCGACAACCGAAAGCCGAACACTGGATGGCTTGGTTTTTGGTTTGGGCGAACACCAAGTGTTTTTAATGACTTAAACAAGTTTGAAAAACATTTTTATGATGTAAGAAATGCAATGAGAGATTTTAGTCTAAAGAGCCAAGGTGTAAAGATTGGGTCGGTCTTGATCACAATAAAGACCGACTCAATACAATGATTAAGGTCTTTGTTCTTGGTCTCCGTTTAGCTCTTGCTCTTATATTCGTTCTTCACCTTGTATATTCAATGTTCGACTTGATCACGGCGGTTTGGCATTATCAAAACCTGTTACAAAAACGAACACGGCTTTAGTACGAAAACGTGACAAGCCCGTGTTTCAACAGGATGGTGAATGCCCCTTGGGGATGTTCAACACTTAGCTTTGATACCAAATGTTATACCCGAGCTCCGGGTTTAAGCTTTAAGTTTGAGAACAAAGCTTCTTAAATTGCAGGAGAAAGGGATAATCGATTATTAAGGTATGATAATCGACTAACCAGGGGTTCAGTTTTTCGGGGAGGATTTTTGGGAGTTTATGAAGGGGGAATAGTCGATTGTCTCTTAAGCAATAATCAATTGTGGGATTGTGTAGTTTAGGCCAAGAAGATTCAGAAGGGCAGATAGTCGATTATCAATAGTTGATAATCGATTATTTTGGTTTTCAGATTCTGCCAAGGAAGTTCAGGGGTGTTGGATAGTCGATTATCAGTGAAGGATAATCGATTAGCAGGGTTACCCGAGGTTTCAATATGGAAGGATATGGCTGGGGTTTGTAGGGAAGTTATGGGAAGGAGTGATAAGGTTCTTTTTGGTTTAATGGACGAAAAAGAAGGAGGTTTCGAGTGAGAAATGGCCGGATAAGGGATAGGAGAAAATCAGGGATAGATATTACCAAGTTGGGGTATAGAGATATTACACACTCTTATCTTAACTTGGGGTTGAGTCTAGTATTTAAATAAGATATGACACACTTATCTAAATAACTAGAACCTAAAACTCACACTCAAGAGAACCACTCTTAAGATATAGATTTAGGAATTTAAAATAGCACACACAAACAAGTGTATTACTAAGTTGAAAAATGGGAATACAATGTGTGTTTACAATGCTCAGGGATGAGCTTGTATAGGCATAGAAAAAGGACACTACCAAGTCTCTTATTCACACAAACTAAAGGAATTAATGCCCACTTGTTGATGTTCCTTTGGTGGGGGAAAAAACACAGGGGTTGTAACGCCCTACAAACCGGCCTAATTTTAAATAAATAAATATTATTTATTTATTGAGACTCATTATTTTAAATTGAGATTTTGATCTGTACAAATGGCTTTCAAAAGTTAATGTGTGTTAAATATAAAAAGATGTTTTAAAAACGGACCTCTCAACATTAATTAAATAAATTAATTAATGATTGGGGTGGACCCATAAGTTTGAAAATAAAGTTCTTAGAAAAATTGTCTGAACATGTCATTAAATTCGTTTGGACTGTCTAGTTCCAAAAGCGCAATCGGATCGCAATTCGGACCCGTTTGGGGGAAAAACCGTGTACCGTTCAGGTTAGAAATTTACACAACAGAATGGAATTTAGGGAGGTAACTCCCCAAATCAAGAACCACACGCTACACACCCTTCATTTCCATAACCCCCATCATTATTCCTTCATTATACCTCCATAAATCCCCATAAATTCACATGATTATAAAACTCCCTCCTCCCTTCACCTCCTTCACCAACTTGTAACTCCCATTCAACATCACAACTCTCTCTCTCTAATGGTGTTCGGCCAATCACAGCGGCAGCTACGCGAGGAGTCGTTCATTCATTCGTTCGTCGTTCAACGTTGACAACCGTTCTTTCATCTTGTTCCATCGTTCCGTCAATCCCTTCATTAGAGGTGAGTAGTTGTCCCTCTAATTCTAGAACATCAAGTCATAATCTATGTTTTTATATTCATAGGAATATCATACGCAACCTACGTAGAAACTATGCATGTTCGTAGGTTAACCATCCAACATACGTGAGTCCATGTTATCAAGTTACGAACTCGTTAATACAAGCATTTTGAAACTCCGTATATTCATGGAATACTTAACATGTAATCATAAACGTTCGTTTCAAAAAAAACTCCTAACGTATTGATGATAACCAAACAGTCAAAATGGGAATCAGCGTGCCTTGATAATCGATTTACAGAACGGAATAATCGACTATCAGGTCACGCTGAACTCTTCAGTTGATCCAGCATAGTGTGACAATCGATTATCACATAAGTGGTAATCGATTATCAGGCCCTGCGGATTCTTGAGTCAGAGCTGGTTCACCTGATAATCAATTATCACATAGGCAATAATCGATTATCAGGGCTCTTTGAACTTAGGACTTTCTGAACAAACCAACTTGACAATCGATTGTCATAGGGTGACAATCGACTATCACAGTCTACGGGACTTTGGGGGCAGAAGCTGCATAGCATGATAATCGATTATCAGCAGTAGACAATCGATTATCAGCCAGTTCTGAACCTAAGGCCATCATGTTGAACAAATTGTAATCAAACCCATATGTATGCGTTAAATTTAACTTCTTTCTTCAATCAATGCATTCAATTCATCATGTTCATCCTAGACGCATGTCCTAGGGTCATCATCATGTGCATACCGCTGTAGGGAGGTCAGGCTTTGGTGCGCCTACTACAGTGGGCCCGTCCAGGAACCTTTGGGATCCAACGGGTTTTCATCAGGTGGGCTTTGTGTACGTACATGGTAGTCAGGCTACGGCTACCACCCAGTTTTGCTAGTTCACTTGCGACGTTTTGTCGAGCCCGTGTCATTACCGAAGTGCAGGGGTGATCCTGTCAAGTGAGACTAAGTCAGGGGTGTCCCTAATAGCTCAAGTCATGCATCAAGTCATTTTGTCATCATGTATGTTTCATGTCACGTCAATATTCAATGTGGTTGTCATCATCATGTATGATTTCCATCATGTCCATATTCAATGTGGTTGTTATTCATTTTGTTATGTGTAATAATATCCATCAAGTAGCAAACATGTGGTTTTCCGTACGTTAAGTACAGGTATGTATATGTGTATAACCATATGGGTTATCACTTCATGTTCTTTTTTTAGATTCACTCCTCAGCTTTTGCTGAGCGTGTAGTTGTTTTTGCTACACGCAGGTAGACATGACGGTACAGGTGCTAACCCTGGAGGACAGTGGTGATGGGAGGATGGGCGGCGCACGGACGAGTTTATTAATTAACCATTTAATTAATTAATCATTTGGGCATGAACCCACCATATGTCGTTTTACTTATTTTGGACTAATCAATTTTCTTCCGCTTTTACTCTGCATTTAAATCACACATGTTTTGGAACTAATTCCCTAGCATTTATTTCACTAATTAAAACACAACCGTTTTCATAATAAATAGTCATTAATGCGTTTTTCTCTACGGACGGTTCTCGGACCGCCCATGTAACCCTACCGGTCCATTGGGTCGCGGGTGAACCGGGTCCACGGAAGGCGGGTGTTACAATTTGGTATTAGAGAAGTTCGGTTTTTGTGGAAAAAAAACAAGGAAAAAAAAAACATAATTTGTCATCTTGTTCAAAAGGTATTTTCAAAAAGTCCGCAGCCGCATCTCCCATCACATCACTCCCAGGGAAAGGTACACCGTTATTTTATTCACATGTATATCATATTGTAATTAGTTCTCATTTAAGTTATTTCCATAAAGAATGAGCCAAGCAGCAGGCAACGATAGACAGGCTGTCCCGCATGGGGAGCCTGAGCACGTGAGCACACATCGAAGCGTCATACTAATTGCGTTATACGCTCATTTGTTCTCATTTTGATACTCTACGATTGTTAGATGAGTACCATCAGTACCGGAAGCGTGTCAAGCGTTGACTCCAGTCGAACCTTCGTGCTCGGTAAGAGACGAAAGAATAAGAGGCAAAGTTACGAATCAAAAGAGCGCTATCAACGTGCACACCGCAAGGCTCGGATAGCAAAGCTAAGAATCTGGAAACGCCGAAAGGCAGCATGGGAAAGAGATGATCCAAAGGAAACGTTCAGTGTGGACTCTGCTAATAGTATCTGCGGCCCAGGTGGGGATAATCCTCCAGTGGACTCAGCCCGACCAGACGGGTGGGAGTGGGTTGCCTGCTAACTGGTGACATAGTCGAAGCCGTAATCAATGCAACATTTCGTCCCACCTATCTAAACCAAATATGTTTCTTGAATGAATTCGTCAATTGGTCTCTAATTTATTATGAACACGTATGCTTCACAAAACAAAGTTTTGGGTAACGCACTATCTCCCTAATCACGCGAGGGGGTGACGAGGAGAATTTCGGGGACGAAATTCCTTTAAGGGGGAGATAATTGTAACGCCCTACAAACCGGCCTAGTTTTAAATAAATAAATATTATTTATTTATTGAGACTCATTATTTTAAATTGAGATTTTGATCTCTACAAATGGCTTTCAAAAGTTAATGTGTGTTAAATATAAAAAGATGTTTTAAAAACGGACCTCTCAACAGTGATGATGGGAGGATGGGCGGCGCACGGACGAGTTTATTAATTAACCATTTAATTAATTAATCATTTGGGCATGAACCCACCATATGTCGTTTTACTTATTTTGGACTTATCAATTTACTTCCGCTTTTACTCTGCATTTAAATCACACATGTTTTGGAACTAATTCCCTAGCATTTATTTCACTAATTAAAACACAACCGTTTTCATAATAAATAGTCATTAATGCGTTTTTCTCAACAGATGGTTCTCGGACCGCCCATGTAACCCTACCGGTCCGTTGGGTCGCGGGTGAACCGGGTCCACGAAAGGCGGGTGTTACAGGGGTGATTGTACTTGTAGGGTAGGATTCTTGGCCATTAATGGTAGGAGGGAATGTGTGAATATAATTCACAATTGATTGGCTTTGGTGGGGCTGTTTTTGGGCAGGAGGAAAGGTTGGATGGTAGGCTATTTGGATTCATTTCCTGGGCAGGATATAGGGGAAACAAAGGGGGGTTGAAGGGTGTGGGTGTGGGTCAAAGTGTCTTGGATTTTTGTGGCTGGTTGTTTATCCAAGTTGAGGTGTAAGGAAGTGGTAGTGGCATAGTTATGGGCCGGGATTTTTGGTCAGGGATTGAGGGAGGAAGGGTAAGGAAAAGAAATGTAGTTTTGGGTTTATTATTTTGGATATTTTGGGGTTTGGCTTGGATGAGAATGGTTGGGTATTAAGTGGGAGTTGGGCTCAGGGAAATTATGGTTATGTGGCAGGTTTTAGGATTGATAAGTTCGTTCCAAAAGGAATCATAACATTTGACATTATTCCGTTAATTTGCTTAACAACTTTAGAGTCGTTAGTAGTCGCCCGGGGTATATCAATACGGGTATATCTTAGAGTTATTCTAAATACCCTTAACAATACATATTATTTTAATAACCATCAATATATTCATTTTTAATCATGATTGAACCATTCATAATTATCATTTTAATCAGAATATTCATCAAGTTTTAATCATCATAATCATCAATCAATATAGCATTCAATAGCAAATAATGGCCTAGCTTCGACTGTTAACACCCTAGCTTACCGTCATGCATCACATAAGATTTTATTTGTCAAAAACATCATTTTTATTGTGAAAAATCATATTTATATTGATAATAACTTATTGGTATCAAAAATAGGATTTTAAAGTTCAAAAAAGTTAGACAAAGCGTGCAACTCTAGAGGGGGGGTGAATAGAGTTGTTGATAATGTTTACCGTTTTTCGCAGGATTAGTGTGTAAATAAAATAAATGAGTATGCAGCGGAAATAAAAGACAGAAGGCTAAGAACACACCGATGTATACTGGTTCACCACCTCGTGGCTAGTCCAGTTGCTCGAGAGACTCTCTCAAAGCTACCACTACTTATCAAGCTTCAATGGGTGCTTGACAGGCCATTTACAAAACGAGAACTTGAATCCCACAAGCCTCGACACTACCACTCGTAGCAATGCTCTCTACAAGAATATTTTGTGTCAAACTATGAACACGAAAATATTTGAATAAAATATTTTTGCTTTCCAAAAATATTTTCTAATACCAAAATAAATATTTTGATAAATGTTTGACACACCTTTTGTAACTGACTCAATAAATATATTTTGAACAGTTAAAAGGATTTTTCAACTGACTCCAAAAATAAATATAATTTTTATTTTAACTCTCATAAAAATAATTTTAGAGAGAATGTTAGAATAAATGAACAACGCTAGAAGGGGATGAATAGCGTTTGATCGTAGAAATTGCAGGAATAAAAAATTCAAACAAGGAAAGAATCAGGCTTAAATGACTCGCAACGGTCATGCCTAACCAGCGATGGGTATGCCCTCCCATCGCTGGGTACCCATCGATGGGTTCAAGTTCCCATCGCTGGGTGAGGTCATTCTACCTGGTGTTGATGTTGAACCAAGGCTGGTACAGCGATGAGTAGAACTTCTCATCGCTGTTTGGCATGGTTCTGGAATTTGGTTGAGCCGAGGACCGCTTACCCATCGATGGGTATTATCTCTCATCGTTGGGTTGATGGCTAGTCAAAAAGACAAAAACCTATGATTTTGCCAGAACCATGGCCTAGCCAATACCAAAGCTAAAAGTGACCGAAAAATGCAAAATTCTCCAAAATAAAAACCAAGTGTTTAAAACACTTATTTAATGTATTTGGTTTTTAGTTTGGACGAATACCAAGTGCTTTTAATATGTTTAAACATGTTTTAAAATCATTTTGATGATATGTGAATGCAATAAAAAAGTTTTAGCCTAAAGAGCCAAAGTTCAAGGCTTGGGTCGGTCTTGATCACATTTGTGACCGACTCAACGACACTGAAGCTACGGTCTTCGTTCTTAGTCTCTTTTAGCTCTTGTTCTCTTTTCTTTCTAGTCTTTGTTTCTCGCCTTGTGTGTTCAACTATTTGTCTCATTCAAGGTGGTTTGGCATTATCAAAACTTGTCATGAAAACGAACGCGGCTTTAGTACGATAACGAGATAAACCCGTGTTTCAACAGAGAAGATTTTTTTGTCATCCTTATAATAATTTCTAAGACTCAATAAAATAAAAAGTCTTCGAAAATCTTCTACTCCTCCGAGTCCTCCATTAGGCGCCCCGAACGCGTCTCGGGCTCCAATAAAATCTTGTGCATCCTCTTGAATACTTTAAGGAATTTTCAATTCTAGTTTTCGTGTTTGTCGATGTAGCACTTTAATCTTGACTTGAATAAATTATATTTGTCAATTATCAAAACCTGTGAGTTAAAACTTAACAACATAGAAAGGGTTGAACTCATGCATTCCAACAAAAAATAGCATTTTTGAAAATATTTTCGAATCAGAAATTCGGGACATCAATCTAATACCTAGGATCGATCTACAATGTGGAATCACTCCCAGGGGATGGCTCCAGGCCTATGGATCGATCATCCTAACCGTTTTTCAGAGGTTATTGTTTCATCATCTTCTTCCTCAGTTCCAATTTCCAAAATACCATTTTTAGTCACCAAACATCAATTAAACTATATATAAGTGTTCTTCAAGGTTCATAGATCATTTTGGTATCATTAATTCATAGTTTTAACAACAATTTTAAGGTTTATGATTCTTAGTTATTCAAGCGTGTTAAGCACAAAACTCAACCAAATGACCATTTACGAACGTACAAATGATCTATACGAACATTCTAGTCACTAGATATATATACGGGCTTACCTCAACGCTTAATGAAGGTTTCGGAAATTTTCCGGTGAAACTTCCGGTAGAAATTATTCTTAGCTCCAGCGACCTCGACGGCAACTCACTATTGCAGAATGCTCTCATTACTCTCAGGAACATTTGACACTAAATTTATTCAGTTTGGTGGAGAATTGAGAAGGTTAGGTTCTTTTTTTATAGGGAGGAGGAGGAAGAAGAAGACACATGCTGCGTAGGATTTGCGTAGGATTTGATTTCCAATCGGTTGAGTGGAGGAGGAGGCGTCGTTCCCTGATTGGGACTAATTTGGTCCTAGTCGGAGTACACTTTTTTATCCAACTTTCTCTGAATTGAATTCCGTTTCCACCGTTGCAACCGGATAGTTAAACTCTATCCAACAATATGATTTTTACATTTATTTGTAATACTTTTTCCGATATCATATTTTTGGGTGGTTGACTTTGACAGAGTCAAAATTGATTGAATTGACCTTTACTCAAAAAGGTTCTCACATTTAATTTATATTATTTATTCTCATGATTTATTTCAATAAATCATTTCAAGGTTCACATCATAAACAAATTTTTCATTTATTTTTAATTTGGATCTGTACACAGGTTCCCAATCAAGATCACATAATAAGTTAACATATTGGATTTATTTCTATAAGATTTATCCAGATTGTGATATTGGATATCAAAACACATTTCATATTGGCCCAAAACCCAATAATAATTTTTTTTAATCAAAACAAATTTGTTTAATTGAATATTTAATTGAATAAATTTTAGAATATGTTTTGGAGCGTTACTTACATCATCCATACAACATTCCAACACACCAAAGAAGACCACCTCATTAATGGAAGTTTTTATCACCAACCTGTTTTTTACAAAAATCTTTCCTCAATGCTTACAAGACTTAAGCTTAACTTCCTAAAGCATCAACAAAATGAAGCCATGATGGAAAAGTTTTAAGATATTGGTAAGCAATAACTCTTGAAAATCATGGGGTCATACTTATATTTTAGAATTTTATTTTCATTTTAACTATATTTGTCAAGAAATTATAATATAAGGGCTCTCAACAACTATCAAGAAATTATAATATAACGCCCCGTTTTGTTCAACTTATTTTTTCTCATTTTTTCTTATTCTTATTAAAATCAGATCAGATCAGACTGAATCAAATCAGATCAGATCATATTGAATCAGATCAGATCGAATCAGATCTGATCAGATGAGATCCAATCAGATCAGATCAAATCCAATTAGATTAGACCAAACTAGATCAAATCCCATCCAGAATTATTATTATTATTATTATTATTATTATTATTATTATAATAATAATAATTATTATTATTATTCTTGTTGTTGTTGTTATTCTTAACAATGAAAAATAATAAACTTTAGAAACAAGTTAAATAGAACACTCAGAAAGTAATCCTTAATTATTAGACGTCGAAAAAAGTATTTTTAAAATACATTGACAATGTCAATCAAATTCT